TTATTAATTATTAAAAATCGCTGTCTTAGGTCGGTCCACTGCCCAATTCAAACGTGCGACGAGATCGATCGATCGTTACAACTCTCTGCGCGCCTAGTAACAATCGATCGATCTCGCCGCACGTTTGAATTGGGCAGTGGACCGGCCTAAGACAGCGATTTTTAATAATTAATAATTCGTTAACTATTGCAAAACCTGCAAAGTGGTACAGGACTTTTCGACTTAGTCTAGTCCACTCTATCCCACAATAAGCGTTGATGCGGGTATTACATAACACCCTGTATGTATTTCTACACGGACTACAAATAATTTAAAGATTATATAATCTGAACAGCAAATATGAACACAACGAAGATGTAGTAATAACATTCAACAAGGTACATTGTTGTAACATAGACAATACTCTTTCGTATGTACTCGCGTACAATTAATTTATTATACAAAAAATCTTTGGGAAAGGCGCTTATGAAAAAGGTGTCGTTGTCGTTGGACCGTTAATAATTTGTAAGTTCTTTTAATGTCAAATGATCAAATCAAAATCTTGAAGTCACGTTTTCTTGTAAAATTTGTAAAATATTAATAAATGCACTTTCTCATAATAGCGAAAGTCTTGACTTGGTCCATCGACTGTAGTGAAGACTGCTGTTGTAGTAGCAACAGATCTTGCGCGAAGTTGCAAGCAAAAAGGATAAAATGTGTGTAAAATGACGAAGTGTTTATAACATTAATGGAAGTGACGCACAGGATAATTCTAAAATTTCACGTGGGTGGACAAATTTTAATGAGTGCGCGATCTCTTTGTTCCTCTGAAATGATCACCTCGCCAATAAAAGCTGGAGATCTAAATTGGCCTCTTTAAAAAAACATTTAAAAAAGCCTTCCTTTCAATATATCTCTATTACCTTCAAAAATATTGCCTATATATATTGTATATGTATATATTGATTTTAACATTTCTAGCTGATGTGATTGCGCAAAAAACGTTTAACGATATTCCAGCAATAATAAAAATCACTATATTTTTTCGTATCTATAAAAAGACGTTTCCATAAAAAATATTAAGGAGGAATATCTACAATTTATAAGCTTTACTTAAGTTACGTCATTATACTGAATATTTTCTATGACTTGATTGCCGTGCAGGTAAACATGTGTGTGTATCGTTATTTTTTTAGACGACCATTAAATGTCCTTTAGACTCCTGTATCGTTTTGAATTATTATTTGGTAATCTTTGGTGATTTGTCGGACGAAAGTTGCAACCGAAAGACAAAATAACGTAGAAAGACAATATCTTTTTCGGTGGGAAAATTTGGAAGTTCTGCGATTAATCGTGATTTCATGGTGCGTGTCTAATCAAACACGCAAGCTAAGATTTGTATGAGGCAATTTCCTATTCTAGCGCAAGTTCTTTGGCCTTGACTGGCGCACTCTCTCCTTCTATTTTTCCGGTTATCCTGTCGCTCCTTTTTACCCGGCCTCAACATGTTGCACTCCTCATCCTGTCGTTTATATGCGATCCTGGGCGCATTGGATAATCTGGACGGATGAACAGCTGCGCTACTTCGAAGCTACGGATTGTTTAAGAAACATCTATAAGTTTTATCTTCTTCGAGTGATATTATTAAAGGAAAGCCCCCCTATTATGAGATAGGCTCCTAATTTGAGATAGCGTAGTTTCTGCTAAATTAATAGGCATCATTTGTTGGTTCTAATGTTGGATCGTATAATCGTTGCAAAAACAGATTTGTGATTGAATTTGGAAACCTGCTATCTCACATTAGAATCCTAATTCATAATAGAGGACTTTCCTCTGTTAAACACAAAATTAATCGGACATATGAAACAAATAGAGTAACAATTAAGCGTATCAAATAAATTGAGAACTAAAATAATAAAGTTTACTTTGATTTATGCGACTGGCTGGTACTTTTACATATCGAATGCCTTTCGAAGGATAGAATGGTGAAGAAATTGTCGATTAGGACATGCTTACGCTATCATTTTTCGAGCTCTCGGGATGCCTGAGTATTTTAGAGACAATGTGGACACACTCCTCATTAGTCAGGATACCGCTTGCCATAGGACCGCCGACAAACTCCCGGTCATTCATAAGAAGGTACCGCACGCTGAAGCAGACGTCGTCCGTGAGGACGGCCCTCTTGTTGGCTGGCAGAGGCTCGATACCCTGTCTTCTACACTCGGCCGCGGCCCACCTGTCCAACGCTGAAAAGAGGATACACTCGCTGGTGATGTTCAGGGTATCGCGACGTGCTAATTGAGCAACCTCCTGGGCACTGAGCTCCTCAAAGTGCTCCTGATGCAACACCCTCGCCGGATTCGAGTCGATCACAGACAGGCACTTGAGCAGAAGATTGGTGCACACGTCAGCTGTAACGTCAACGAATATATCACATTTCTCGAATACTTTGGCACCGATCACCCTGATATTACTTCTTGTTTCATACCCTAATGAAAGTATTTTGTTAAAAACACTATGAAATCGATGTGAAAAATGAAAGTTTTTGAAAAATCATCGAATGCGTCTTAAAGTAAATAATAATTTTTCACGTGACATTCACTATATGTGCAATACCGTGAAACATAAAGAAAATTAGCTGTAATTAATTAAATATTGAATATTATGAAACTTACTGATCTCAAACCGGTGTTACTTTTTAACGAATATGATTTTTCGCTGAATTTTGTTTTTTACTGAAATACTGATATAACGATGAAGCAAAGTCACGATTGAGAAAGGTTTTCAAACAGAGGAAAGTCCTCGATTATGAGATAGGCTTCTAATATTCTCATATAGTATAGATAGTAGGTTTTCAATATCCAAATTCAATAACAAATCTCTTTTCGCAACTATTACACAATCTAACAATGAATTTTTTTATTAAACAGAGAGAAGATTTTACTCCAAGAGGAATGAATTTATGATGGAACCAACAGATGATGCCTATTGACATTATAGAAACTTTGCTATCTCTTATTGGAAGCCTATCTTATAATAGGCGACTCTCCTCTATATTTTATTATGTTTTCAATAAAATATTTCCACCAGGGCAGTGTGTGTCTCGAGACTGTTCCCAAAGGGATGAAGGGCGCACCTATTACACCGGCGTCGTCCCCAGGCGGCGGTGGTGCCGATGGCGAATTTGGCGATCCGTCAAAACCGGGATCTTCCTCCCGCAGATCGTTCGCGTAGAGCCTGAGGCCCTGGTAAATCTCGAGCACCGTTGATGGTGCGAGGTGCTTCTCGAGATACGACACGGCGAGTCGTGCGAGACCAGGACAAAGATACTGATGAGCCGCGTCGAGCGTGGCTCTGGCCGTCGAGACCGATATAAAATTGACGGGTTCGTCGTGAAGGTACCTACAATCAAGATAAATCATTAGAAACAAAATTGAAAATTCAAAGGGAAATCGTCCGCGATTCGAACTTCACTTTTCGGTATTGCCAGATGTATTTCCGAAATTTCAGTTTTTAATATCCGATATGGCGAGTCACGAAGTTCTACCTCCGGTTATGAAACATATTCCCGGGGCGATTTCCTGCAAAGTTTTCTTTACGAAATTTATAGTTACCTTTTTTGGAAAATTAAGGAATTTAAAGAGAAATTCTGGTTTTAGAATGTTTCTTACTTAAAAGTATAACAATTTGTATTGTATTTGTAACTTTCTTCTATTATAATTCTAAAAAAACTTTTCTTCTCCAATTTTCAAATCAATATAACTTTAATTATAACTATAAAGTAGATCTGATCCCATTTGTATTAACATCTTTTATTCCAAACGACCTCGTGCTTTTCCTAAGTAGAGATACAACTTTGTGAATCACCCTGTACTTCTCTTCTCGAGAGATTATTTTCTCGAGGTGAGAAGAGAATTATACTTTCGCAAGGACAACGTTTACCTGAGCAAATGATCGAATGCCCGCTTATCAACGTGTTGCAGTTGCAACAACGGCGGCGAATCCGTCACTGGTGGTGCGAGCGGACCTGTAAGCATTGCCCGAAACCATTCCGATTTTCTAGCCAGTCGTTCCCTCTCGACACAATACGTCCACGTATCGCCGGATAATCCAGCCTGTTACATAATTTATTACAATATAATTTTAAGTTGATTTCATATGGGCAAGTATTGAATTAGAAGCTTGATTAGACAGCACATTTTTTTGTACGAGAAAAATGATTTTATACTTC